GGCGGCGTGCGGGGAAGGGGAAGGGGCGTGGGAGGGGGAGGGAAGGGGGGGAGGACAGAGAGGGGGAGGGGAAGGACGCCGCGGCCCTCGGTCCCCACTCACCGCCGAGCCGCGCCGGCTTCCAGAGCGCGGCGGTCCGCTGTGGGGCCGGGCGATGACCGCGGCTCTCGCTTCTCCGCCGGCTATGGAGGCGACGTCGCTGAGGGACTGAGGGGCGCGGGGGGTCTCTCTCTCCCGCTTCACCTTCCTGAAGCACGGGGACCCCAGAAACTAAAAACAAAATAAACAAACTTTCCCCTCCGCCTCCCTCCCCCAAAACCACAACACAAACACTCGGGAGCCCGCCCAGAGCCCCACTTCATTGGCTGTGGGGAGGATGCCTCTAGATCTCACTGGCTGACGCTTGTGCCTGTCAACCTGCTGTTCCGCCCCTCCAATTTCTCGCGGCTGCTGTCGCCCCTCATTGGCTAAATGCTTCCCGTTTGACGAGCTAGGATTGGCCGAGCGGCCTGCGCCAATCATGCGGGGACACACCCCCTCAGCATCCCAGAGGCCGCTTCCTCGGTCGCGGGACCGGAGAGACGAAGGGGAAACTAGAGCATGATGGCGGCCGAGCTCGCTTTGCGCAACCATCCTCTTTTCTCTTTTCTTAGCTCATTAGTGCCTCTCCCAGGCCTAGTTTCCCCTAAGCTCCTCTCTCCATCCAGTAATGCGTAATAACGGAATCTATACGTGCCGGCTCCTTGGTTTATCCCCTGCGAAGGGCTGTGTGGGTTGCTTGGGCGTCATTGGACTGTCGGGGTGTCGCTCCGACTCAGAGCCTCAGACTATTGGTGGATCTGACAGAAAGCCCGGCCAGCAACAAGGGCCGACGCCATTGGTTTGACTGCACCGACTTTTTTTTTCCTGGTACCTTATTGGGCACGTCGGTGCGTCGGTGAGACCCGGGCTTCGCGGCGGCGCGGGGGGCCGGTTGCACAGCGTGGAGCTGGGGGTGGGGGGGTGGTCGCCTCTGCTTATTTGTGCAGAAGTGGGCGATGGTCACGTCTGCTGCTGGCCGTGCGTCTGCTTTGTGCCGAGGACGGTACTGAGGTCTCTGCACCGGTCATCTGGCTAGATCCTGCTTGGTTTTTAGACGTAGAGGACAGACTCCAGGGAGGTCAGGAAAGGGGCCCAAGGTCACCCAGACCGGTGGTGGGCCTTGCATTGGGGCCTGGGTCTCTCTATCTGGCTCTAGAATCTTCCCTCCTTGACGTATGGTGTATTGCTTCCACCTTCGCTTGTAATGGAACCACCATCTTAAAAACACTTCCCCCGAGGGGGGAAAAAAAACAGAAAGACGCAGTGCCCACGTGCCTCTGATCATATAATAGTTATCGAAACCAACTCCAGGAAATGGAAACGAGACTTTCTTTTCTTTGTTGTTGTTTCTTTTTGTTTGTTCACCTATCTGTCTTTTGGAAAGTAAGGGGAGGCAGAGAAATGCAAGGCCAAAAGGTGAACAAATGCTGCAGTGGTACTTGCTAGATACTGTGGAAGATGAACTATATAATTTGAGTGGGAACCGGAAGGAAAAACTGGGAGAGCGAGGGAAGGAGTGACATTGTTCCAAAAGAAATGTACTCATGTAACCGAAACTCCTCTGTAAATCACCTTTACAATAACTTATTTTTTAAAAAAGTTTCCTTTGGAACTCAAGCTCTTTAACTCCCTTTCTATCTTATTTTCCTTCTCAGCAGCCATGCATCCCTATTCATATTGATATTTCCTGATAAAAGCAACATATCCACGGCTGTGTTCATTTGTAAGTGAATGTTGGTCAACCATTTTTTGTGTGTCTAGCTGCCCTACCCCTAACAACCCCCACCAGCCATCCATCTTAGCTTGTCCCTTAGCTTGTTCCTCAAGAGTTGGAAACAAGGAGAAAAAAAATCTAGAAAGAGATAAAGAATAAATCGCCTTAGAAGTAAATAATTGATTGCATGCAAGTGGAACAGCCCTTCAGCTCCTGGAGCGCTTCCAGGATAGCTGATGCCCAGCGAGCTGTGTTCTCCTGGCTCCTGGCCATGGGGTTCTTTCTCCAAGTGAACACATTTCAGCCAGGGGAGGGCAGGATGCTTTAGGTCCCAGTGCCACCCCCAAGCCCCTGGGGCTGCAGTGATCTCCAAGAGCCACAGTACTGGACTCTAGCCAAAATCCATCCTGCATAAAACGTTTTACCATCCCAAACCCCATCTCAATGTAGCTTCAGTGTGATCAGGGCCCTTGTTGTGCTTCCTGATCCTAGCCATTGTGTAATACCATTGGCACGGGTTTAATAGTGAAATAACCACTGTAACACAGTAATAAACCTCAACATTTATGGCCTTTCAGCAAAGGAAGAAAAGCTATTGCACAAATATCAATTGAGAGCAAATGGTAGGGATTCCTAGGACAATTGCAAGAAAAAAGATCCTATGGGCCTGAATCCTTATAATTTGAAACACAGAGCACATGGTAACATTTCAACATGGGGATTTGGAGCCAGAAAACACGAAGAGAAAAACATTGAAGGTCCAAAACCTTCCCAAACTTCCATTGATGGCTTCTCTCTTAATATGGCTCCCCACCTCCCTAATGGAGTGATGGAGTTTGAACTCAGGGCCTCATGCTCATAACTGGTGCTCTGCCACTTGAACCATGCCTTCAGCCCTGCTTTTTTGCTGGTTATTTCAGAGGTGAAATTTTATGGACTTTTCTGCTTTGGCTGGCTTCAAACCTTGCTTTGGATCTTCCTTATCTCAGACCCCAGAATACAGTAACTAGGATTCCAGGTGTGAGCCACTAGTGCCTGGCTGTACCTCCTAAGCCCTCAATGAAGATAATGCTTGGTTGTGCAATCAATGGTTGGGTACATCCCTTGGAATACAGTTTCTTTTTCATCGTTGTGCTTTTGTGTTGCTCTGATGATGAAAATTTGTGAAGCAATTATTATGCAATGAGCTTGTTAAACACCTTCATAAAGTACAGGGTTACCTCTGCCATTGAGGACCTCAGTCAAGTGAACAGATAAACTCACAACCATACTGTGATGCTACAGTATGCCCCCCCCCAATACACACCAAGCACATAGGACTCCATCTTGGAAGGGGAGGGATGGCTTCCTGGAAGAGGTGACAAGTAGAAGGAAAACCACAGGGCCAATGTAGTCAGCCAAAATGAGATTGTGACAAGTGGCAATATCTGCTCTCTGGGGGTTGAGAAGCAGACTAGAAATCTCCACCAATGGGCAAAAGCTGTTCTTCTAAGAAGCTCTTTGTCTGTGAAGGTTCTTTAGCTGTTTGTCCTTTTCACATCATTCTGCTTACCTGCCCTCCACTGGAGAAAAGTGGGAACCCTGAACCTCTGGCCTGTCTACCCACTCAAGAATAGGAAAATAACTTGCAAATAAGATTGCTGCTTTCCTGATCAGAGAAATAACATTGAGTAGATATATCACATTTGCTCAGCTCAGTATAACCATCTCTATGCCAGACAGTTTAGAAAGTAACAAACAGAAAAGCAAAGTCTCTATATTCCCACTCCTATAGCCACTCACCCATTAAGGTCTTCCTATACTCTTCTCCCCCCCCCCCATTTCTTCTAATCAACTATTGGAGTTGGTGCAGGACTTTAATCTGGGCTCTAAGAGCTCTCACTGCTCTGAACTGTAGCTCTGGACAGAGCCTGTCCTTAGTTTCTGAACCCATAGGAAGGAAGCCAATAAATCAATTAAGTGTTTACGGGGTAAGCTGAGGATTTCAAAGCCTTATGACAGTACATGTCAAGATTTCAGGGTATTGGTCAGCCTAGCATGAAGGTGGAGTTAATGAATGGGGCCAGGGTGTATCCTGAACTCACAGCCAGAAGGATATCCAAGAATCCCCTGGTGGCTGCTGAGTCAGACTGTTCTGAAAGGCAGCACAGGTCACAGGATGACATACGATATTGTTTTTTTTATGCAAGCTCTCATTTCCTTTCTGCATGTCACTTGGGGAATATATATATGTGTGTACAATACATATGTTAAACTTACATACTAAACAAAACACACCAATATATACATATATATTTTTTTTCATCTCTCCCACCCAGCTTTGCAAGTAGAAAGACTGTGTAAGCTGTGTGCACTGGCGTGCGTGCAGGCCACAGGCTCTGCGTTGCTGGCGCGCTGTACGGCTAGAGCGCCGTCTGTGGGGCTCTACACAGTTGGTGTTTTGCTGGAAGGGAAGTCAGATTTAATGAGTGCTGGCTGTCTTGGATGGCTCCCAAAAGTGCTCCAAGTCACCCCCAAGCAACAGCCTTCCTTCCGGTCCCTTGAGAGATCAGTGTGCGCTCCTCGCTCTAGGCCTGGATGAGACCCAAGAGGATGAGAATTTTGCAAACAATTCTGCCGTGATCCACACGCGTTGGGGCCGCATGGCTGGCTGGCGGGGCTCCCGCGCTGAGGTCTGGGGTAGGGGATGGAGGTGGGGCTCTCACTGGCTATCCTACATTTGGCAGCGTGTACAAATTCTTGAAGCTCAGAACAATGGGACACTCTCCATAAAGGAACCTAATCTGAGAGACAGAGGGACAGCTGACAGCTGATACTGCTTACTTGGGCAGGGGTATGGCTGCTGCCAATATCCACAAGCAACAGGGAAGGAGAACATGGGAGAAGGTGTCGATTACTGAAGACATGCTCATAGCATTTATGATGTGTCGTAGTATTTACTGCACAACAAAGCCCTGGAGAGAGACGCTGTGCTACTTTCAAATCACCTCTAGTTTCTTATGAGTACGCTTGCTGAGCAGCTACTCTATAAAGCACCAAACACTGACTGTTCCCCCCTCCCCCCACCCCTACAATCAGAAGGGGGGTTCACAAGAGAATCCTGAGATGTGGGTATTAATAATCACCACCCTGCCGGGCTCTGGTGGCTCACACCTGTAATCCTAGCTACTCAGGAGGCTGAGATTTGAGGATTGTGGTTCAAAGCCAGTCCAGGCAGGAAAAGTCCATGAGACTCATCTCCAACTAACCACCAGAAAATCAGAAGTGGTGCTGTGGCTCAAGTAGTAGAGCACTTGCCTTGAGCTGAAGAGCTGAGGGACAGCACCCCAGGCCAGAGTTCAGGCCCCACAACTGACAATAAATAATAATAATCACCACCCTGACATGGACAGGGTCTGTGAGCAGTAGACACTGGGCTGAGGGTGATACAATTACCACAGTTAGCTGGGCGCTGGGGGCCCACACCTGTAATCCTAGCTACTGAAGAGGCTGAGATCTAAA